AACAAATATATATATACAAATATATATATATATATATATATATAAAACCACTGGTATAGTGCAGTACAACAGTATCACTGTATATTGTATACAGTACAGACTATACACTATACATTGCTTACTATTAAAAATAGTACATTAAGAGAGTAAAGTATAGATGTATGCAGTATGAAATCTGCATAGTACATGAATTTTCTGTATGCATGATGAAATGCATGGATGACCTACAACGTTTGTGAAAAAAGTGGAGTATACAACCACGAACTCCTGTACAAATCCAGTTTTGTGTCAAATTTGTTCAACTCGGTGTAAAGTCAAATCAAGGGCATTGCATTGTGGGATACAGTATCTCACAGTGTGCTCTGGATGCCACTGCACATGCTGAATCATAATAGGCCATCTGGGTATTGTTTAAATATATATAGTAATATAATACTGTACACACAAGAATTCATAAATTATTTAATTTTATGAAGCGCAAATATTCAATGTCTTAATTAATACAAGCTCATAAAACGGCACATACACGCACGAATTATGCAAAATGCTGTTAAATACTTTTAGATGAAGTATAGCACGTCACACTGTTTTATATCATCATATATCATGCTATTCTGGTACTACCATTATATTTTGTAAGTGTAACCTTTGCAACTGTATGTCTTGAATGTCCCCATGTATAAAAAATGTTATATATTACATTATGAAAAGTGATGCATGTTTTAAAAAAAATAATTGAGCCTACAGTTGATTTATTTACTTACATGTATCAGGATAGTACTTTGCTATTCTATGAGAGTTTACCATCTGATGCCACACTATTATGTTGTAAAGGTAAACTTTACAACTCTTTTTGATATTACATATGATCATGGTTTAGGTCAGCGATCAGGTGTTGAGAGTTTGGATCTCTGCCTGTTCTCTTGCGCTGTGTTGAGTAACAGAGCCTCAGTTGAAACACACTCTTTCCTAACCCTGTGGCCAGATTTCAGGTCTGGGACCGCAGATTGCCCCAGAATCCAGTTACAACACACAAACATCAACAGTTGTGCGAATGAATGAACGTCAGGGTTTGCTCTAGTGGACGTGTAGCACAGGTTCAGTGTTATCAGCCGCAGTCATCTGCAGCCTTAACTAGATAACTCAGTGCCAAGCCAGCAGGCGAGATAAAGCCATGTCCTCTGCCTGCAGTGGAAGCCACAGGAAGACCGAACGGCTCTGTGCAATGATGCTATCACTATCACTGTCCCACAATGGTGTTGAAATCTCACCCGTCCCACTGCCGCTCGGCCTGAGCTCTTCCACGCAAACGCCCGAGTCATCGCGTCCGTTTGAAGAGAGGAAAGATTACATTCTGCTATCGTGTTGTGCAATTCACAATCAATCCGAATAATCACATTAACCATTTCAGTGGAGGTAAATCACCACGATTGTTTGATTTAGTATGACTTGAAGGCTGCATAAAGTCATTTATTTGGATATTTCCTTGGACAGTTTGTATAAACAGAGAGAGAGAAAAAAATAAATAAAAATCACACTTTTAGTTTTGAAATCACATATAAGTGCTAGTTATCACTCGGGGTTAGTTGTCACAGGGTCTGTATTTCAGTAACTGGAAGATCTTGGGTCAAAGGTTCAAAAGTTTAATTGCACAAATCCATTTTATCTAGCAGTGGTTTTGTATGTTGGTTTAAAAGACCAGATCCAATCTGTCATTATTTCTGAATGATGTGCTTTAAAGTAAAATTCAAATGTAAACTGAAGGTAGATTTTAAGTGAAACTGTTCAGCTGTGATGTCTAGACAAGACATTTGTTTAACATAAATGTTAGAAAAACAATTAAAGTTTAAAATTTTGACTAAAATATAATTTCATATGGCTTCTCAGCAAAATGTTAAAAGTGAAACAACAGAAATGAATATCTGAAGCAAGAAAATACTGTGTATAAAATAATATAAATATAAAAATATAATTTGCTCAAAGAAATTAATTAAATTATATAAAATTACAAATACATAAACATTTTTTGGGGCAATGTGTTTTATACGTTGCTGTCATTTTATAAAATGCATTAATTTCTTTCTAATATTTTTGATATACAGTATTTGTGTGTAATTCATTCATTTTTGTTGCTTCAGATGATCAGATGCATTCTCCTGAGAAGTCATACAGTGAACGTTTTAAATAGATATACAGACATTTTTTCTTTAGTTTGTCTATAAAAATTGACTTCCAAAAAATTACTGGAAAGCACAAAAATTACCATGAGTCAAAAAATGTAACCGTTTATTTAAATCAAAACAGAAAACCTCAAACTACAATGCCTAAAGAGTTTGTTTTGCTTTTTTTTCTGAATGACTTGAGCAGTTTATCATCTCAAATTACAGGATTTATATGGCTCCAACTAGTCATTTACACAAGATTATTTCTGAAACCAAAAAAAGTAAATTGCACATTTTTCTCTCACAATTCAGACTTTTCTCACAATTCTGAGAAAAAAGTCCAGAATTGCAAGATATAAACTCACAATTGAGATATAAACTTGCAATTCTGAGGGAACAAAAGTCAGAAGTGTGTATATAAACTCACATTCCTGGAAAAACATGTAGTAAGAATTGCAAGATATAAACTCAGAATTGAATATAATCTTGCAATTCTGGAGAAAAAAAAAAAGTCAGAATTGCGAGATAAATTGTTGCAATTACCATTTCCATATTTATATTCAGTGGTGGAAACAGGCTTCCATGCTCATCAGTGGATTATTTCCCATGTTCACTTTGAGAAATGATATTTACTAGGGATGCAACAATACAGTTACAGTAGTCCACAGTTCAATACGTACCTCGGTTTTTAACCACGGTTTTCGGTTCGGTTCTGATGGCTTGGCACATCAGAGTGTTGTTTGAAACAAATTAACAACAACAACAAAAAAAACTCCTGTAAACTTCTGTACACTGGAAAATGTGTGGATTATTATATATCTGCTTAACATTTCTTTTGAGAGAGGTAATATTTTTTCAGATTTTTACCTATAGGATGGATTGGCCATTATTGAGCACTATAAACACATGTAAAGTGTGTTTAATTCATACTGGACGCCAGAGGGTGCCCTCGTGCACAAAAAATCCACATATGCATTACAGAAGTAACACTGATGACGTTCCAGGAAATCCCTAATATGGATAAAGGCTGAATAAAAAGATATAACGTTAAATGATGAAATGTAAGGACAATAAACACTCCCCTGTGACAATATATGGTTTATCGGTGTTCTTCAAGCCATCTCTGGTATTTTCATAATGATTAAGTATATTTGTAAACCATTTCTAATCGACATAGCCTTTATTACAATACAGAATGGGCCTATATTTTCTGCCTCATTCTGTGACAAGAAGCCACACCAGATCACAACAGGAAGCGTGTAAAGTAAAAACAAGTTATAATGTTCTCTATTGTTGGAAAATGGGTTTAGAAAGGCTTATCATTGCATGTCGTTAACAAGGGAAGATGCTCGGCATGTGTTGCTTTTTCAAATGCACGTTAAAAGCAGGGAAGCATTTCCTCATCTCAGCATGTGAACTCACGGGCACACACACACACAAAGCCAATTCTGAGAGAAATTAAACACACGGATATTATTTAAACCCAAAACCGTAAAACCGCAAATCACAAACGCGTATTGAACCGTGGATGTCGTACCGAATGATTCGATATTATATTGAGAATTGTGACATCCCTAACATTTACTCATCCCATCTACTGAAACTATATGAAAATCACAAAGCCAATCCAAAATGATTCGATCACGATCAACTAGGGCTGCACGATTAATCGAATGCGATTTTCATGTGCAGCTCGTCAGTAAAGCCGGTTCTGTGATTAGTAGTAAATCTCCAGCACGTGCTTTCAGATGGAGCGGCATTTACTACACAGAGCCGTAGTTCACTGACAAGCTTATGCAAGATCGCGTTCAAAAATACCACATTTAATAACATGTTTTACTCCAAACTCACTTCATAACGTCAGTCGAGTGTTTTAAATAAATCCTTGAGATGATGTGGCTTCTTACACAGAATAAGGCACGCAACATATTTCATAGTATTCTAAGCAGTGATAACGGCTATGTCGATTAGCATTGCATTATTATATATTTTATTATAATAAGACGAACTCAGATAAACCATATATTGTCGTAGTTGTGTGTTTATTAGTCACGTTGAATTAATGAAAGCAGTTAATTGTTCCGTTTATTCAGCAACCGCTATAGGGATTTCCTGGGTTTCTTCTGCGAGGCGTATTTGGAGTTTAATTTGGAGCGCCCTCTGGCCTTCAGAGGGAGATTTACTGCTGATCACAGAACCGTGCTTCACTGAAAGATACGCATGACAATCGCAGCTTCTGCCTAATCTTGATTTTTCGCCTTTGCGATTTAATTTTGATTAATCGTGCAGCCCTACGATCAACAGAACCTTCAGTCTCCGGTGGTGTCCTGCTCTTTGGCCTGTAGGTGGCACTGTGACAGGTAGTGTCTGAGTGCATCCACCTCGTGCGACAGGCGCTGGATGTGCAGCTGCAGGCTGTGGTTCTCGTCCTGGAGCTGCAGCGCCCTCTGCTGGGTCAGCTGGATCCGCCGCCGGGCTTTATCGCGACTCTTCCTCACCGCGATGTTGTTGCGCTCTCTGCGCAGACGGTATTCCACGCTGTCTTTGCTCGGGCCGCGCTTCTGTCCCATCGGCCGCAGGGTGGAGGCCGGGGGCGGCAGAAGAAACTGCGAAAAATCCTTCCCAAAGATTCGTGGAGTTACCGAGAAAGGACAAGAAAAACAAGTCCAGTAAAAATCTAGAAATTTATATTATTTATAATAGAAAAAGCATGAGATTTCCAAGAAATGTAATACATTAAAAAATTACACAAACCAAACTATCCATACAACTAGTGCTCCTAAACTAAAACGATAAATAAAATGTTAACTGAAATATATTACAAAAAATGCAAACTTATTTTATTTCAGCAACATCTCATTTTTGTTTAGTTCAACTTGAAAATAACTAAAACTAAAAAAAGAATAAAAACTATGACATTCTTAAAAAATATGTAATACTAATAACAACAACAACAACCATCTAAAACTGAAACTAAAACTGAAATGTGTCATTTTTTCTACCAGGGTGAATTTCATTTTAAAAGTTTCAAGACTTTCATTTTAACATTTACAGTCATGCATTTATCAGATTAGATTTATATGCATCTTTGCCGTCCAAACAACTAAAATGCGAGGGAAACTAACACTAACACGTTCCCATGATAAATCTTGGAGTAATCAGTGACTTTGATAATTTCCTGGACACAAAAATAAAATACTATATTATATATAATATATCTGGGGGGGAAAAATGGAAATCAGTTAAATAAAATGTTAAAAAAACTCATTATTTAGCTATTTACTATTAATTTTTCTTGTACTCAGACAAACATTTATTTATTTATTGACATCTAACTTAATGTTATTATACAAACATTAAACATACAATTACTAAAATTAACTATTTACCCCTATAATTATTATTTTACTTGTAATCTCAGACATAATCAGTAAACATGTTTAAATTATTAGGCACAAATTAAAAATGTCAAAACAAGTTTCAGTTTAGACAGGCGTATGCATTTTAGAGATTTGGACAAAAAAAAAAAAAAACAGTGTTTAATGCTAAATGTCATGAAGACTTTCATTTTACGTTTACATTTATCAGATGTTATTATTCAAAGCGACTTACAGGGACATCAATTTGTCCTAAGAGCCACAATATTGGCAGTACGCAATGGCAGAAAGTTCTCCAGGAAGCGGTTTAAACAGCGTCTGTGTTACCTGCTGATTCTGCTGCGCTCGCTCAGTGCTGCTGGGGGTCAGACAGGAGGAGTACGGCACGAAGCCCATCATCTGCTCCATGCTCCGGCCGTCTGGCGTCTTGGGAAAGGCCATGGGCTGGCTGTACAGACCCGTGTCCATCTGAGGCATCTGAGCGCTCATGGTGCTGGAGTCGGGGTTCAGGGGGCCAGGAGAGCCGGAGGACTGATGATGGAGAGCAAACATACAGATGGAGGACGCAGGACTGTCGGAGATGGACATCTGTGGATGAAGACACAATTCTGAACTACTCCATATTCCAACTACAGAAACATCAAGGCATGAAGTGACAGGAGTAGATCAGACGAGACGTTTCTTTACTTACGGCTTGTAAACTCTGCTCAGGGCCGCTGAAGCTTCTCCTCTCTTCTCAAGCACAATCTTGATGTGTTCTTCCACAGGATCCGTTATGATACAGGTACTTCAGCGCCTGTCAATGACACCATCACTTCCTCTGTCACAACCATCCCTCCTTCCCCTCTAATTATTTTTATGTTGCATCATAGATTGACTTCTTTTTTTCCTTTTTATTTTCCCTGTTTCATGAGCACTTTCTACATTCTTTACACCCTAATGTATATTTGTTGGCCAAACGTTTCTCTACGTTAGATCTTGAAATGATTACAATTATTTCAGTGCCTCAAATAATTTCCAGCATGCATATACAAAAATTATTTATTTGTCAAATATTGAAACAGAAATAAAATATATCAAAGTATTTAATATTAAAAGAGTTTAACTTTAAAATATCTAATTAGTAATATTTATAACTACAAAAGATTTTTTATAATATATATATATATATATATATATATACACACACACACACACACATATATAAACACACACATACACACATATATATATTATATATACACTAATTATTAACTTGCTTCATATCTAATATTTGTTTGTAGCTATTATAATCTAATAAATAATGTTTAAAAAATAAATAAAAAATATTTCTAATAGTTACTACTATATTTTTTATATTCTAATTTAAAATTATTTATAAACCATCTTTACTTATCTTTTTCTTTTACTATTATTATAAAAATTGTTATATACATTTTAAATATGTAACTACAAATATTTACTATTCATAACTAGAATTATTGGTAACACTTTTTCGGTGTCCTTGTTACAGTGTAATTATACATTTAAGTACTAAGTAATATTAATCAACTACATGTACTTACTATGGTGTTAGTGTTAAGATGAGGGTTTGGTTTAGGGTTAGTTGCATGTAATTATGTATAATTTATTGTTATTACTATAGTAATTATATGTAACGTGTAAAAAGAACACTGTAAAATAAAGTGTTACCGAACTATTACTTTATTCTCAGGCATAATAAATGAACACAAAGATATTGCAGAGCTAAATTATGCAGAAATGTGTGTCTAAAATCTAAACAAAAATTTGCATTCACAATTTGTTTGCATTTTCAAAAGGCAAACAAAAAAGTTCAAGTAAAACATTTTACCAAATCAGAAATGCAGAATTTGTAAATATTCTGTCGTGACCTAAAAGTCTCCAAATCTCCACACTGTTACAGAAGTACCTGGCAAATGTTACATTGTTTCCCCATAATCCCTTCAAGCCTCGTGGTTGATTGGCCAATCAGAGGAGACTCACTGGCGCCTCCTGCAGCAGGACTGAGGAACTGACACAGAAATTATGATAAGTATACAGGGAGAAAAACCATTCAGATAGACTGGGTCAATTTTTGCCATTAATAACAAAACATTGCTAAAAATGAGTCTAATGGAGAGCATCCTTCCTTTCGAGCTGTCGTAAATGAAATTATTCACCCTTAAATATTAACAACAACCTTGACAAAGACAAAACAAAAACAGACACTCACCTGTAGCTCTGTGTTCATATGAATGATATAAATGAGGTCGCTGGGGAACATGGTTTGGACTGGAACAAGTGATGCACGGTTTCAGATCTTCAGAAACTCACATTTTATTTGTCAGTGGTATAAATGCAAAATAAGGGCTTTCTAGTACAGTTGACTAAAAAAAGATTTTAAGTAATACAGTAAAGTTTTTTTTAGTAAAGTCATCAATCCAGTTTTAGATAGATAGATAGATAGATAGATAGATGTGTATGACTATATCAGATGGGATTTTGTTTGTTTCATTACATGCTCCAGTAAATAATTTACAGTTCAAAAAACACAAGTGAAAATTAGACCTAAAACCAGAGAAACTGCTTCATTAATCTTTAGTAACATAAGATCAGTGCACTGGATATTACAAATTGCCTGAAGCACTTAAATTACACATTTTTTATAGTACATAAACATAACTAATAAATATTCTAATTTGTATATTAGTTTTCGGTCACACTTTATTTTAAGGTCAAATTCTCACTATTAACAAGCCATTAACGGCTTTTGCCTCAAACTCCTAATTTGCTGCTTATTAATAGTTAGTAAGGTAGTAGTTAAGTTCAGGTATTGGCTAAGATTAGGGATGTAGAATATGCTCATGCAGAATATGTGCTTTAGAAACAGCCAATATGTTAATAATAAGCCTGTTAATAAGCAACTAGTTTATAGTGAGAATTGGTCCCTATACTGTTACTTAGTTTTCTAACTAAAATCTCTCAATGAAAGTGTTTTAGAAGGGAAATCTTGATCCCAGTCGCTGTAAATCACACACACGGTCACAGACGGAGAGAGAGCTGAGCTCGGGTCAGAAGCTCATCTTGGATTTCTGGGTAATCTGGACGCTGCTGCAGCACCTACAACCAAACAGCAGTCGATGAGACCGATCTGAGATCAATCACTCACTTCATCTAATGCCTCATCCTTCACTTCTTACAAACCTGATGGCACACATCAACGGCCAGTGTGTAATTCTTGCACTTCAGGTAGTTAAAGGCCAGACGAAACCCTGCAATGAGATTCAAATGCAAGCGTTTCTGATGGAACTGAATATTTACAGTATGTCCATGGTTTTGATGATAAAGTCGCACCGACTGCAGGATGGGCTCTGCTGCTGTGTTTCCAGGCCAGTTCATACTGCAGCGCTGCATCGCTGTGTCTCTGCTCGCTCTCCATTATCAAACCCCGATACTCGTACGCCTTACTACACGACTGATGGAGCAGCAGGAGGAAAATAAAGAGATAAAATGTGTCATTTTAGCCTGAAGTTGAGAAAAATGCAAAGCAACTCAAACTAGTCCTGCCGTCAGTCATCCATCATCATAGAACTCAAAATGTTCACAAATAACCCTCTAATTATTTTTATTTTCCTGTGTCTTTGTTCTTCAAACAACTCGCATTCAAATACAAAATGTACAAAAAATATTTCTAGGGGAAAAATAAATAAATTGAAAAATAAATAAATAAATGCTTTAATATTGAAAATATTTATTATTATTAACTAATTAACTACTGTTTACTACTTATCAAAAATATAGTTATATTTTATTATATTAGATATTTAACCCTTTAACTGTCACTCCCATTTTTGAACATAGATGTTAAAGTGCAAAATTAAATTGTTATAATGCATGAATGAAAACATTTCGTAATATGATTTTGATTGTAATGCAAAGTCCGATTTTAAAATGGTTTTCACAGGATGAATTTAGAGATTTTATATTTTCAATTAATATATATTTTATTTCTAAAGCGTGACAGGGAAAAAGGTAACGAAGAAAGACTTTTTTGTGACAAAGGTCAGAACTCCTGTTATGACGTAGATTTTTGAGGTGCACTCTTGTCATAAATTAATCTATTACTTTTCCTACATCATTTGTAACAAAAACATCATTTGTAAAATATCCAACGATATATAGTTTGTCATGATTAGATTAGGATTTATTTGTAATATAGAGAAGTAAACTTAGGTGCCCCTCTGAGGGGACGGGTGACAATTAAAAGGTTAAATTATCACCCTAATTAGTTATATGTGACCCTGCAGCACAAAAGCAGTGTTAAGTCGCTGGGGTATATTTGTAGCAATAGCCAACAATACATTGTATGTGTCAAAATTATACTTTTTTCTTTTATGCCAAAAATCATTAGGATATTAAGTAAAGATCTAAAATTGTTTTGCTCCCTCAGATTCCAGATTTTCAAATAGTTGTATCTCGGAAAGCTTATTTATTCAACTTTCAGATGATGTACAAATCTCAATTTCGAAAAATTTACCCTTACGACTGGTTTTGTGGTCCAGGGTCACATATAAACTTTAAATATATAATTACTAATATTTACTACTAGAATTACAATTTATGAATAATTATATTTGCTTGTATTCTCAAGCACAAGGCATACAAATAATTGTTCTGTTTTCTCAAGTAAAAGTTTTCTGAAATTGCAAATATTAAGAGGAACTTTTAAATTGAATTCACCTACGCATTTTGTGTGCTTTCTCAAGATTCAGACAAAAAAGTAAAACATGTCAGCAAATCTAAAGTGAGCGGAAACGGACCTGATTGTGTCGTATGCAGCTGTCGAGCAGTTTGTCCACTTGCGTGTATTTTCCCGTCTTGATGTACATGTCAGCCAAGAGCAGGCAGGCGCTCTCCAAGTCATCCGCGTTTGTGTCGCTCCACTCTATCCTGCTGAGGCGTTTGAGGACGTTTCTGGCTCTGGGAATCTGCTTCAGCTGAACGAAACCTTGAGCCATCATGAGCAAAGACGCCTCCAGCATCACCTGCAGACAGACAGAGCACTTCACTGATAAACACTTGACGTCAGGCTAGAGTTACATTTCTGTCTTTACAACACAAAATGTATTAGAAGTACAACAACAGCAACAACAAAACTGGTAACACTTTACAATAAGGTTCCATGAGTTAATGTTAGTTAAAGTATTAACTAACATGAACAAACAATGAACAATACATTACAGTATTTATTAATGAAAATACATTCGTTCACTGTTAGTTGATGCTAATTCACAGTGCATTAACTAATGTTAACAAGCTCAACTTTTGATTCTAATGCATTAGTAATGTTGAAATTAACATTAACTAAGATTAATAAATGCTGTAGAAGTGATGTTCATTCTTAATTCATGTTAACTAAAGTAGTTAACTAATGAACCTTATTGTAAAGTGTTACCAAAAAACTAATATATATATATATACTGTATATATACACACAAGTTATATATTTATAAACATGCACAAGTAAATGTGTATTTTCAAAGGGTTTTAGAGGCAGTATTATTGTGTCATAATTTTCATTTAAATTTTAGTTAACGTTTTAGCATTTGTTTTCTGTTTTTGTAATTTTTTTTATTTTTTATTATTCATTTCCACAGTTTTTCCTTATTTTTATTGGAAAGGTGAATAATCGAAACAGTTTAATAACAAACCATTAAAAGTATGTGTTACCAAAAAACTAATATATATATATATATATATATATAAAATATGCACCAAGTAAATGTGTATTTTCAAAGGGTTTTAAAGGCAGTATTATTGTGTCATAATTTTCATTTAAATTTTAGTTAACGTTTAGCTTTTTTTTTTTTCTGCGTTTTTGTAATTATTTTTATTTATTTATATTTATTTCCACATAGTTTTTCCTTATTTTTATTGAAAAGGTGAATAATAGAAACAGTTTAATAACAAACCATTAAAAGTATGTTTCAAGCATCAGTTAATCAATATTAATTTTATATATATATATTTTATAGTTTTTTTTTTGTATTTTCCGTTTCCATTTTAATTTTAGTTAACATTTTAGCTTTTTTTTTGTAATTGTTATTATTACTATTATATAATTTATTTGTCCACATTTAGTTTTACTATAAAGAGTGTGACATTTTAGCCTCCTATCATATCTACAGTACTTGTAAACATAATTACAACAGTGGTGAAATTTTGCAACCTTGAAAATCCCGTGTTGCAACATTTGTACCAAATTCATCCCTAAATACAATATGCATAAAGATCATGGTTTTAAAACCAGTAACTTCCTAAAAACACTTTCAAGGGTAGAAGAAAATACATTACTACAGTCTCCAAGGGTTGAAGACTAAATAACACAGTAAATGAAAGAGTCCATTAATAATCGGACAAAAAGTCAAATGCGTGACTGTGTCGATGAAACCGTGTCTTACGTTCTTCGCCTGCATGTCTGTGAGCTCCAGCACGGCTCTCTCCACCTCTTTGGGCTCTTTGCTGGAGATTCGACACAGATTCGAGAGCAGCTCGAGTTTGTCCTGCTCAGATTTAGATCGCGGGCGAAACATCGAGAGTATGTTGTGAGCTGTGCTTATTCTCGTCTCACTCTCGGACTCACTGCTGGAGAAACAATCACAGACAAACTGCATGAAATCATTTTAGTATTTGAACACAGATTTTGTGTCAGTTGTTCTCACCTCGTGTGCTTTTGTCCTTTATGTAAAACCTCTCCTCCGAAGACGTCTCTGTCAGGGTTCAGGCAGATCCGGTCCATCAGATCCACCGCTGGTTCTCCCCAGTCCGCGTCTCCTCTGGCCTTGTTCAAGTGCATCAGAGCGTCAGTCAGCTGGCACGAGTGCCTGAGGTCAAGCAGTGCATGGGTCAAAGACGTTAAGATGTCCGCATCAAAAGAAATTTACAAAAGTGATTTTATGTCCATAGAAAGTACATTAAATGTAAGTAAAGTGTCTACTTTTAAGGTTTCAAATACGTTTTTGGAGAATAAAATGTCAAAATTTGGTTGAAATAATGTTACATTGTCATTCAGTGTAACACAATATTTATGTAAAAATTCAAACAACATGCTTATTCTGACGTGTACATATTAAAATATATAAAAGAATAA